CACCACTACCACCACCACCACCAAAACACAACTGTCTATAATTGATGAAATATAGATCCCTGTACCAGGAGCCTGAAAGCATGGTTCGAATGAGGGATCTCATATGAAGTATGCATAGGTTCAAATCCTGGTTCTGCCAGTTTTATTCACCACTGGTTTTATTCCACCTTTTGAAAATGAGGATATCTACTTTTCTGTGTTAGACATACTGCTGGCACCATTTTTTTTTTATAGCTAGGGCCTGGGTAGTAGAGCAGTCCTCACCTGTGGTAGCCCAGAATTTGTTAGCTGATGTCATCAGAGGTACTTCATCAAGCCCAGGATATTGCACTCATGTGTATCCTTGGGTAGGTACCACCAGCATGTATTATGAAGGAGCAAAACAAAACTTACCCCAAATTCAAAGACCTGGACCCTGCTTTCAGCTCAGCTAGTGATATAGTCAAGATGATTTTTTTTCTCAGCCTCAATTTCTCAGTAAAATTTGTAAGCCAGAGAGGTTTATTGAGCTCAAGTGAGAGGATTAATATGAAAACAAATAAAATGTAAAGGAATACTCAAGGTATACAGAGTATGTATGCTGGATTCTGAGATAGTGTCTGGGTGCAGAAGATGTCTGAAGAGAAAGACGGTATTGATTTTTCAGCTCATGTTCATGATTATTTCTGTGAATAAAACTGACAAGAGCCTTGGAAACCCATATAATTTACACAGGTCAAGGACTCTCTACACCGATGATATACTTTACATTACAAACGGCCCTCACAGCACAGATGCTTGGGTCTCTCTCACTGGGTTTGCCAGAGACATGATCTGTATTTAAAAAAAATGTCCAATCTGTTGTTGTCTAACATATATTATCTAATGTGCAGCCAGGGTTAGGAAACAATGAATTAGACTTAGGTGTGTAACCTGCCAAGAAGTGCTGGACTTCAAGCCACAGGCTGTGGAATTTGGCTTAAATTTTGTCACTATCTAGGAAGGAAAATTAATTAAAAAAAAAGCCATTGAAGACTGCAAAGGGACTTTGAACACTTTCTCTCTCTATTTAAGACCAACTGGTTGTTCTGTTCATCTAGGTCACCTATCATAGGAGACACCAGAAACCGATTCACGAATCTGTGAAATCAGCAGAATGTGGTTTGATAGGATCCAGTTCATTTTCCTGTAAATCAACTGATACATTTTGTCTTAAAAATGATTGCTTGTATTGAGTAGTATCTAACCTGTGGCAGAGTCTTAAAAATATTGGTTGAATAATTAAATAAATAACCACAATAACCACCCATCTTAATACTTCATACGTAATATGTAGTGGTTTTATTGTTTCCTGTACACAGAATGCCTAATATGTCATAAGTGCAATGTTACTTGCCCTTCTGGGAAGGGGTGGGATATTTGATACAAAGGTGTAAAAATTTAGTCCCTCAGAATATTTCCACAGAGTTGGATGTTGAAAGTAGTTAGTCTCAGATAACATTTAAATTCTCTTAATCCCTAACTTCCTGGACATGAAGGGAAATTGGATGTATATAAGTGCTTCAGATCTTACATCATATCCACAATATTTGAACAACCAAACAAGAATGGACTGAGTATCACTGATTATAGTGGTATTCATTTTCCTTTTGAACTAAGAAACCTAAGCTATAAATTTGAAAAATCCTATATGTTTCTCTGCATTTTGGAAAGCTTGATAATTTTTGTCTACCATGTCAAATTGTGGGGTTTAAGATGAAATAACAAATCAGATGGAATTAAATTAAATGGAAATCAGACATTCAAGTTAATATGATGGAGGTAGACCAGATATCTAGATCTAAGATTTGCTTGTGAACAGAGATTACAAATGCATTCCCATTGATCTAAGATGAATACATATAAAATTATGTTCTAAGGTAAAGATGTTGTAGAAAGAAGTAAATGGTTGTGCCACTCATAGGTCTGACTATGTGCCCAACAACAGAAACTGGTAGCTTGTGCTTATTCAGAGAGCAGTTGTGTTATGTATTATACACTACATAATTAGAAGACTAAAAAGATACACTATTTACAAATCAGAAGATTTTACATTCTTAAGCATTCTTGTTCTCTCTATAAAATGTCTGTTTTGCCTGGAATCTCCATTTCTTCTTGGCAATAAAAGGATCAGAATGTGTCTGATCCCTTCAAATGGGACAGATACTTTCAGGATCACCCCTACTTTACTGGTATACCAGAGCATTTTCTATGATTATCCCTCAGTGTACAAGGTTGTGGTTTTTGGTAGACTGTGGTAGTTAGCATGGCCAGTATCCTCTTGGCTACCTGTGACTCAACATGCACAATCTATTTCCTGGTGCTTTAGCCCAATTCTTCTACATGTTAGAACTCAAGTTATCCAAACCACCCCTTCCCCTTCTCATCCCACATCTATCAGATTTGGGGTCTTTCTCTTTTTGATCTCCAAAATACAAAAAGAAAGAAAGAGAAAGAAACCTATGTTTTGGGTGAAAGAGTTTTATTGGTGATTACTCTAGGATAATGTGCACAAATTAGAGCTATAATTTATGTAATAGTTCTGTGGCTGTTGTGGCAAATTACCACAAAGTAGGCAGATTAAAACAAGAGACCTTATTTCCTCAGTTTGGAGAGCAAGAGTCAAAACTTTAACTGCAGGTTCTGAAGGAGGATTTATTCAATGCATGTTTAGCTTTTGGTAGCAATTTTTGGCATTCCTTTACTATTAGAAACACCTCTTCAATCCGTCTCTACCACCCAGTGGCATTCTTTAGACCTGTATCTCTGTTCTCCTCTTATAAGGACACTAGTCCTACTGGATTGAGGACTACCCCAGTGAGCTCTGCTTGACTCTTCTGTGTAAAGAATCAATTTCCAGCTAAAGGCAGATTCATAGCTATTGAAGTTCAGGGCTTGAATCTATTTTCTACATAATTCATTTGGTCATACTGTCACAGACTCAATATCTTTCTGCAAGTTCCCCTTCAGTTCTTAAAACTAGCCTGCTTAACACTCAACCCAGGGAGATTCTTAAGCCCTAGAAATTTCTCTTTCCCTACACTACTTCCCCCATTGAAGATCTCATCTTATGTCACTGTTATGTGAAAAGACATGTCATTAAATACATCTGCACCATGAATGCTAAACTATTTTAGCTCTCTAAATTTTATTTTTGTCTAATTAATGATTCATAGAAATTCCAGCATTTGAACTGCTAATTTTAGTTTATTTTCTTGAAATTTTGCTGTCTTCATTGTGTGCTTTACATCTTTATGTTTAAGAATGATTCTTTCATATATGTTTGCCTTTATTATGTAATTATGTCAATATTTAATATTTATTTTCTATATGCTAACTATACTCTAAATACATTATGCACACCATCTAATCTGCTCTTTATAATATTCTCAAGTAGTTGTAATTTTATGAATGAGAAACTGAGATTGTGTAAATTAAAGAGAAATTTCCCAGGCTATTGAGCTGTGAATTGCAGAAAACCATGATTCACAGCCAGCTTCAAGTTGTAGTACTTCCACTGACTTTCACTACTGTTCTGAGATGAGAATAACATATCTTAGAAATAAGTCAAAATTTATGTTTTTATTTATGCAAAACACAGAATTGCAGGAAGACTGAATTTGGTAATTAGATAAATATGAGCTTTGTCCATTCTCATACCCCTCCCAACATTTCTCATCCCCCAAAAGATCTCAATTGCTTTCAAATATAATCCTAAATCTCTCTCTCTCTCTCTCTCTCTCTCTCTCTCTCTCTCTCTCTCTCTCTCTCTCTCTCTCTCCTATATTGTCCATCCACAGAAACCTATTTTTCTCTTCTCCTGTTTCTTCCCTTTGGAACTCACCCATTACTTCTGGTTGAGAGGTCAGAGTTGATTCTTAGCTATCTTTTTAAGCCTTCTTCTCTCTATTTCCCCCAAGCCACCATTGTCTGTAGCAGGGAAAATTGGCATTGCCCTGGCTGTGTCCATGGCTATCCTTGACTACTGAAGGCTCTCTCACATTTACTCTCTCCTTGGCCTGGGACTAGCCTAGCTGCTTAGGATGACTGTCTACTGAGCCCCAGAGACCTGCCTATCTCTGATTCTATAACATTAGGATTACAAATGTGCCCCTACATATTTTTTTACATGAGTTCTGGGATATCCAACTCAGATCCTCATGCTTGCAAGGCAAACCCTTTCCTGGCTGAGCCACCCCCCTAGCCCTCTAAAGCAGCATTCGACAGTATGTTTTTCCCCTTGCTAGTGCATCTAAAGAAGAGTCTGGCCCACTGGACTTGTGCTTTGGGGTTGAGATTCTGGCTAAAGTTCTAACTCTGTTAAGTAGTGTTTATGTGACCGTGGACCTGTTACCTGTTCTAAGCGTATTTTGGCTTCTTGGGGTATTGTAAGAAATGGTCACAAAATGGGTGGCTTAAAATAACAGAAATTTATTCATTCCATTCTGGAGACTAGAAGTCCCAAATCAAGGTGCCTGCCTGGGTACGCTTCCTCTGAAAGCGCTAGAGAAGGGTTATTTGATTCTTCACTCTAGAAGCTCTTCGTGTTCCTTAACTCCTAATCCCTGTCTCCATCTTCACTGGGCTTCACCTGTACCTGTGTCTCCATGAGGCATGCTTGTGTGTGTCTCTCCTTTATAATAAGGACAACAAGATGAACTTCATATTTAATTATATTTTTAGAAACTTTATTCCCAAACAAGGTCACATGTGCAGATATTGAAGGTCACATGCACAGGTGTACAGGTATTGCAAATTAGAACTTCAATACAGCTTTTTTTTTTGGTGGCAGGAACTTATTCAAGCCAGTTTCTGGACTATAAAGTGGAGATAATAACAGTTTCAGCTAGCTGTAGCTTTTGCAAGGGTTAAGTGGCAGCTATGTCCAGGGCACCCTACAGTACCTGCTCCATACCTCTGACTCAGAGCTAGAAGATGATTTTGAAGTGATTCTTTCAAACTAATGTATTTCCCTTTTACAGGATGTGTAGAAGGGACTCATAGTCCAATGACAGGTAAAAGACCACTTTACACTCACCAGAACACAATCCCCAAGTCTCCCATGAGCACAGTTTCTTTGAAAGAAGAAATTCATGGAGAAGCCTGTTCTTCGCTGTCACCATCCAAGGAAATGGATGAAGGTGATTTGGTCTTTACTGCCAAAAAGGGAATGCAGAAGCCACCTAGAGGGCCACCCAAGCAGGCCTGGACCAGCCCCCTTCTGGAAAAGCAAGCTGCAAATAAACCTCTTGAGAGACCACACTCAGTGAATACCATTTCCTCGGAAGCTGCAGGTAGACACATACCGTGTCAGAACCATCCCTTGGGCAAACCCAAGGGAGATTCTGGTACGTATCACATCATGGTTTCTAACGTTTCTTGTCTCAACTTTCTGGTTTTAACTACACTATAAACGAAACCACTGGTTATTGAATCAATGGTGAGCCATATTCTAGAAGTGTGACAAGAGCTTTATTGGTGAGACCTTAGACTGCTTGTTGACAAGCATTACATTTGAGGAGATACAATCAGGTGAGTATTGATGACAAGTTATTGATAAGTCAGGCGTTGCACCGAACAGTAGCAGTGACATCATTATAGCCCCCGTATATGTATAGACTCTTATGATGAGCATTTTATTTATAAAACCAACATACAACATTTAGGCAGCTGACTTCCTACTTTACAAATAAAGAAGCTGTGAATTAATAGGGTAGGGTAATATGTGTGATAATTAAATGTTTCAACTTCAGCTACCATAGTAGGAAAGATTATTAAAAGTAAAGAAACAGAAGATGGGGAAATAGTTCAGGGGCTAAGGTATTTGGAAGACCTGAGTTTGAATCTCTAGAGCCCGTGTGAGGCGGGCATATGGGCACATGTCTGTCTGTGATCTCTGTGCTTCAAGTGTGAGAATCAGAGGTGGAGGAGACACGGGAATCCTTGGAAGCTCACAGTCCAGCAACCAGCCTGGACAGTGGTGAAAGACAAATGGGGAGGGTGTCTCCAACAGATGAGGTTGTCCTCTGACCCTCACACACATGCTGTTGCATGCATAAATCTGTGTGCACCCACGTGTGTTTACACATGCACACACATGGTAGGCACACAGGTACACAGGCATATACCTGGGCGCACACACACACACACACACACACACAATGTTTTTAAATGGAACATAAGAAAAGGGTTTTGGAATTGAAGATCTTCACTCAAGTCTCAGTTCTCTCCCACATCAATTCTGTAGCCATGATACAGTTCCATGGGTGTTTTTTGAGCTTGGTCTTTTCATCTGTAAATTAAGAATAATTAGTGCTATGAAGACTACTTGTAATTGGAGGGTTCATTTTAAAAACTTCCTAAATGCAATAGAGACTATATGATGTTGGTGGTGTTTATATCTAGGAACTGTCACGTAGAAGGATTCGATTGGTGTTATGTAGCCATCTTGTAATGGAGATTTTTTTTTTTCTGGGGAGAGGAGAGAGATGTCATTCCAAATGTTAACACAGGTTCTGTAAGATGGTCTGCTGACACTGAGTCAGAGAACCTTTTATTTCTGAGATGTTGGACCCAATGATGGGAAGCAGATTATGCGAGTTGGCTAAAACTTTTAAAAAAAAATGTATGTGTGTATATGTTTGTGTGCATACAGGCACGTGTGCATGCGTGCATGCATGCATGCGTGTGTACGCGTGCGTGTGTGTGTGTGTGTGTGTGTGTGTGTGTGTCTGTGTCTGTGTCTGTGTCTGTGTATATGTGTGTGAAGGTCAGAGGAAAACCTCATATCTCATTCTTAGGAGTCTGTCTCCTTTTGAGACAGGGTTCATTGGTCCGCATCTTTCTAATTAGGTTAAGACTGGCTGGCTAGAGAGTTCCGGGGACCCTCCCAACTCCACCCATCCCAACTCTAGGACTGCAAACACCTGTTCCCCCAGCAGGCATTGTCCCATGGGCTCTGGGGATCTAACCCAGGTCCTCATGCCTATGAGACAAGCAGCCTTTCAACTGAACCATCTCTCCAGCCTGGTTAACTTTTTGAGTCTTGCTCTGGATAAGGCAATGTTCCAATGTGAACATGCACCTTCAGCTCTCCTCTATATGATCCTCCCACTGAGATAGAAAGTGTGACTTTCGCATGCTATAGAAGCAGATTTGGAGGCCTGTTGGGGTTCTGTTTCTGTAGTGCTGAAGTCAGGATTCAAGCCTCCCACCCTGACTCTGGGTTGGAACATCCTTGTACTAACAAGTTAACAGAGAAATGGTGGTTCTTCAGCCTTAAGCACTTTCTATGTTTTCAGTGCTTAACACTTTGTGTGGTCTCTCCTCAGACATTCAACTAGTTTATTTCTCCATAGTCAAGTCTTTAGTGAAGTATGACATGCTTGGTCTTTCATAATCCTTCTTGCTTTATTTTTCTCTTAGGATTTAGCACCAAACTAAGACTTCTGAGCTTTCTTATTTCTTATTCATGAGTCAGCTTCCTTCTCCTTCTCCCTCCTCTCCCCACAAAGAGACTGTAGGCTGTGTAAGTGCAGAGATAATGTTCACCTTATTCTCTTCTGTGTCCCTGATGTCTTGAATGCTGTTGGGCCCCTACCAGGTGCACGCATGTTAGCCAATGAAGAAAGGAAAGAACAAATTTAATTTCATCAGCAATCAAGTGTCATGGATAACGGAAGCTCCACGTTCCCCATGAAAACAAAGATATTTAGGGCGGCTGATGTTTCAGGATTGGACTCTGATGGCCTGGATTTTGTTAGACCCCACTGTCACACTAAACCTCCTGCTGGTCCAATGCATCATCATGATTACTGGAGTCCTTCAAAGGAAAGGATGTCCGTTTTTCAGCTTAGGAGATAGGAAAACATGCTCTGCCTAGGTCATGTTCTATTATGCCGAATTCCAGAATTTCAGTAGATTCTTTATGCGCTGAATATGGACAATAATTAAATATATACTATTTATATACTAGGGCTGGAAGTCCATAATAATAGGTATTATTAGGAGCTTGCAAAGCACCGAGTTTGAAAGCCTTCACTTACTTAGACCTTTGGAAGTGTTCCATTTTTATGTCCAGGAAGAATTCTTACTTTGGATCAGTCAGATCCAGTAAGCTGCTGTTTTGTTTTGTGTGTTTGACAGGTACATTGAGGGCACAGTGGACGATCAGTACCTGCTGGGCACAAAGCAATGTGGTGGGAATTCAATTTAACTCCTTAGCGATATACTGGCTGTTAGGTGATGCTGTGCATTCTAATTTTATGCAATTTTGAACTGGAAAATAATTCTGTGGGTTGTGTCAAATATTTTAAGAATTTCCCTGTTACTAAAAAGCCCATTAGAGAGCTGCAGGAAATGATTTAAAGTGTGTAAATTATCTTAATTTATTAGTGAAGGACTAGACTTCTAATGTGGGTAGGTCAATGTGTAGAATTTCTCAAACTAAAATGGAAGACTAGATACATAAAATGCAGATAGAGTATATAACACTGGAAGTGTGATTGGGGAAAGAATAAAAATTAAACTTGATGTTAATGTCAGCATGAGGGTGTGGGGTTGGGTAGACTCAGCTTCGGGGCCATGTACTTTGTTTCGTTTCAGCTGGTTTTAAAGTTTCTAATAAAATCCATGGCATAGCTAACTTCGGGGTTTTCTTTCAGATCACCAGCTGTCAGTCTGAGCGGGCCACTGATCCTCGCGAGCATATCTAGCGTGATTCAATAACTTTCTCTTTACCAACTTCCCTGAGTTAGAAGCTCGTGTGCCGTGTTAGTCACCAAGCCCTTCTCTTTCTCTCGGAGGGTTTGAGCCGGTTCCTTTGAAACTGTTCTTGCCAGCAAAGGACTAGTCAGCGTTTGGACTGTGTGACAGCGTGGTTAGGGGATTTTGTTTTCTCTCTCCATCCCAGCTGCAGTCCCGCGATCCTTGTCTAGGCTCGGGTTCTATTATCACTCTGCTTTGACTTCCAGGTCCTGTGTTGAGACCTTTCACCGCCATCGGCCTCTGCAGAAGTACCAGCCAGAACTCCTTTTCCCCACAGATCACCTATAGGACTTCCGTGGAACCTGAGCAGCAGAATCAAGTGGCAGCCTCGAGATCCTGGACAAACACAGACTCCCTAAGCGTACGCGGAAGTGCAATCGGAAGGGGCTTGGCTGCAGTAACACCAGAGATGACCCCAAAACATCCTCATACCGCCAAAGAACATAGGTCAGAGACAGCTCTCGCCTTCCGTGGCCGTGCAGCTAAGGAGCCCCTGCCTATGCTCGTGGGCTCTTCTACCCATTTATTTTCCAGGAAGTTGATGAAGGTTTGCTCCTCAGCTGCCCCGCGCCCACCCCGGCGCTCCCTTACGGCTTGTTCGCAGACTCTTTCGAGGCCGGTGGTGAACGCTCACTTACACTGACTGCTGAGAAAGAATTGTTCTGCCAGTGTGGCCCATCTTCCAATCAATGCCTGCTCAGAACAACAGAAAGGGCCTCAGATGGATTGGATTCCATAGAACCATTGTTAAGCTTTGTGAAGCATTTTTGAACCTAATAAATAATGTCAAAAGTCTCTATCGAAGCCCAAAAATGTTCTTTTTGAAGCATTTGTCATAGTATTTTTGCTCTGCCCTGTCTCCCACTGTTACAAAGAATCTGCGCTGTACAATAAGGATCGGGTGCACCATGTGCCACTTTGCAGCTTGGCCTGCCGGGATCGGAAGGTCGGGCTTTTGTTTTGCTGATACAGGTAAAAGGTTTTATTTGCCAGCCTCCACTTAAGGGCTAAGGATAGTTTCTAAGGGCCTTCAGGTTGTCTACACAGACATTTGGAAAACATAATCAAATGCCTGTAATTTAATAGTTAACATGAAATTTGATTACACCAGAAGGGCCTAGGGAAATTCTTCAGGCTCTATGAAGGATTTTGTGTCAGAAACCTGAAGCCAGATCCTAGCTGGAGGCTTTGAAACACTTGGAAGTAAGTTTAATTTTTTTTTTAAAGGAGAAGATTCCAAAGTTTCTGATTTGTAATAGAAAAGTCTGACAGCTTAGGGAATGTACTATCAAACTGGCCATTCTAAATAACACATTTAAAATGTTTTGGAGTAACTTAACAGACTTGCATGGCTACTTTCCATCACAATATAGTGTTTGATACTTTATCAGTGATTTAATGGGATGACATTTGTTCCTTTTAATGAATGTTCATAGAGAAATAGGAACCAGTGTGATCGATATCCATCCACTGTCTTGCAGTTTCCCCATAGGTTTGGCTTTGGGAAATCAGATGCATGGAGATTTTAAAGATTAACTGTATTAATATTTTCCCTTTAGTTCAATAAATATGTATGCATATATGCAGGTAAAAATAAGCCTACATTTGAGACATCATACCTCATGTTCAAATTCAATGCTCAGAATTGTCTTTTTTTAAGATTTATTATTATTTTTATAAATCATGTGTATGAGTGCTTGCCTACACGTATGTATCTGCACCACATGTGGGCCTGTTACCCAAAGAGGTCAGAAGAAGGCATGGGATCCCTTGGAACTGGGCTTGCTGGTGTTCTGAGTTGCTATGTGAGAATTGAACTCAGGTCCTCTGCAGGAGCAGCAGATGCTCTTAGCTGCTGAGCCACCTCTTCAGCACCGTAAGCCTCAGAATTTCATCGGGAGTGAGAAATGCTGCTGTAGGAAAAGGGCACTGAATTTAGGAATCCGTTTAGTCTCCTGAAAATCATTCAATTTACAAAAATAGTATTTTTCTATGAGTAAAAATCTTTAGAAAAAAGTGACATACCCAAACTCCAAAACTTTTCTGGTTAATGCGGTTTTTAAGGTGCAATGCTTTTATTATTATTTGTTATTAGCGTGGTTTATTATGAGAGAACATGCAGATCGTATCCCAGGCATCAGGTCACCAAAGTTCATGTGACAACTGCAAGTTCAACCTCATGTCCTTTGATTGGAGAGCAGTGCATAGATAAACTGATGGGCTTATATAGAGATTCTGGGATATTTTAACATGTGTTTTAATTATGAGTTAGCACACAGTGTTTTCAAAGCAGGAGAACAATGCCCAAGGAGATTAAAAAACAATGAACCAGAAATCATAGTAGCTGATGCTAAACTAGAAACTGGACTTGACATGGTAGAGGGACACCCTACCTATTGAGGTGTAAATAAGTGAATTTATCTGAAGATTCAGTGCAGAAAAGGCAATTCTGTCCAGAAGAGACAGAAGGGAGACAGGCAAAAGATGCAAATCTGAGTATATTACAGCTAGAGGCAACTTTCCAAATCCATTCCGTGGAATACTAGAACTAGAAAGATGTGGTATGGGATGGGGGATCTGTAGCCAAGTCTATGAGGGTGGCTCACTGTGATCTCTCTCTGGGGGGCCACACTAACATATTAGGCCCTAGATAAATTTCACAATAAAAATTCAATAAACTGTTTAACTAAGTTTGTATTTACTTTATTTATCAGAGACCTTTGGATTGTGTACATGTATTTTTGTTTTGAGACAGGGTTTCTCTACATAGCCTTGACTGTCCGGAACTAACTATGTAGACCAGGATGACCTTGAACTCACAAAGATCCCCCTGCCTCTGCCTTCTAAGTGCTAGTATTAAAGGCATACACCATCATGCCTAGCATGTACATGTGTTTTTAAAACAGTATATATTAATATCTGCTAACACTAGTGTTCTGTGGAATACATATGAAACGACATTTTGGAAAATATTTCTCTAAGCATGCCAAATCCACTGGTAAGGTTTATGGTAAGGGTTTCCTTTCAAATAATTGGGGTAAGAATCAGAGACCACCAAGGAATCCTTCAAGAATCCATTTTAACTTGACTAGTGAATGAGGTGTCTCCTCTGGCTATTTCCTCTGTCTTTGAGTACATACATTTTGGGGGGGGGGGACTTAGTTGGTCCAACTCAGAACATACTTAGTGATGGATGAGAAAGTGCTTCTAATCCTGACTAGTACAGACATGAGCTTTTATGCTGAACCTGGTTCCAGAACTTAGATATGAAGATAAGTGTACTGAGCTATTTCTATTTCTATTTGTACTTTGGAAAAAAGTGCTGGATTATACATTCACAATTCAATGTTAGAAAATACATAACATGCACTCACATATTACCCAGGCAGGGAGGAATAAAATCTCATATACTATGGAAAATTATTTTATAGGTTCAGAATTACAGCTTATTCTTTCTACAGGGATCTGTGATTTCATTCACAGCATTTATTACCACATACTCTAGGTGTCTTAGAAACAATATAAAATTTCCTCTTTGTGGAAAAATAATTGTCTGCAAACCACATTTGAAAGTATGATATTAACCTCCTGCGTTCTATCAGACCACCATGGTTTAAAGTTAGATTGCAACAACAACAAAAACTACAGAAAGACTAAAATCTCATGGAAACTGAATAACGCTCAACTGAATCACCAATGGATTAAGGAAGAAATAAAGAGAGAAATTAAAGACTTCCTAGAGATCAATGAAAATGAAGACACCACATACCCAAACTTATGGGACATTATGAAAGCAGTGCTAAGAGGGAAATTCATAGCACTAAATGCCCACATAAAAAAGTTGGAGAAAACTCACACTAGTGACTTAACAGCACGCCTGAAAGCTCTAGAACAAGAAGAAGCAAACTCACCCAGGAAAAATGGATGCCAGGAATCAATAAAATAGAAACAAAGAGAACAATACAAAAAATCAATGAAACAAAGGGTTGGTTCTTTGAGAAAATCAACAAGATAGACAAGCCCTTATCCAAACTAACCAAAAGGCAGAGAGAGAGAGCATCCAAATTAACAAAATCAGAAATGAAAAGGGAGACATAACAACTAACACCGAGGAAATCCAGAAAATCATCAGGTCATACTTCAAAAACCTCTACTCCACAAAACTGGAAAATCTGAAAGAAATGGATAATTTTCTGGATAGGTGCCACATACCTAAGTTAAATCAAGACCAGATAAACTATTTAAATAGTCCAGTAACCCTTAAGGAAATAGAGACAGTCATTAAAAGTCTCCCAACCAAAAAAAAGACCAGGACCAGATGGTTTCAGCAGAATTCTACCAGATCTTCAAAATAGAGTTAATAACAATACTCTTTAAATTGTTCTACACAATAGAAACAGAAGGAACATTGCCAAACTCCTTCTATGAGGCTACAATTACCCTGATTCCCAAGCCAAACAAAGATGCAACAAAGAAAGAGAACTACAGACCTATCTCCCTCATGAACATTGATGCAAAAATACTCAATAAAATACTGGCAAACAGACTCCAAGAAAACGTCAAAACAATTATCCATCATGATCAAGGAAGCTTCATTCCAGGGATGCAAGGGTGGTTCAACATATGAAAGTCCGTCAATGTAATACACCATATAAACAAACTCAAAGAAAAAAACCACATGATCATCTCACTAGATGCAGAAAAGACATTTGACAAAATCCAACACCCCTTCATGATAAAGGTCTTGGAGAGAACAGGAATACAGGGAACATACCTAAACATAATAAAGGCAATTTACAGCAAGCCAACAACCAACATCAAATTAAATGGAGAGAAACTCAAAGCAATTCCACTAAAATCAGGAACAAGGCAAGGCTGTCTGCTCTCCCCATACTTATTCAATATAGTACTTGAAGTTCTAGCCAGAGCAATAAGACAACATAAGGAGATTAAGGGGATACAAATTGGAAAGGAAGAAGTCAAGCTTTTGCTATTTGCAGATGACATGATAGTATACATGAGTGACCCCAAAAATTCAACCAAGGAACTCATACAGCTTATAAACACCTTCAAAAACATAGCAGGATACAAGATTAACTCAAAAAAATCAGTAGCCCTCCTATATACAATTGACAAACAGGCTGAGAAGGAAATCAGAGACACATCACCCTTTACAATAGCTACAAATGATACAAAATACCTTGGGGTAACCCTAACTAAGCAAGTGAAGGACCTATATGACAAGAACTTTAAGTCCCTGAAAAAAGAAATTGAAGAAGATGTCAGAAAATGGAAAGATCTCCCATGCTCATGGATAGGCAGGATTAACATAGTAAAAATTGCAATCTTACCAAAAGCAATATACAGATTCAATGCAATCTCCATAAAAATAGAAACACAATTCTTCACAGACCTGGAAAGAATAATACTCAACTTCATATGGAAAAACAAAAGATAGCCAAAAGATTCCTGTGCAATAAAACAACCTTTGGAGGCATCATGATCCCTGACCTCAATCTCTACTATAGAGCTACAGTAATAAAAACAGCTTGGTACTGGCATAAAAATCGACATGTGGACCAATGGAATCAAATTGAAGACCCTGACATTAATCTGCACACCTATAAACATATAATTTTTGACAAAGAAGCCAAAAGTGTACAATGGAAAAAAGAAAGCATCTTCAACAAATAGTGCTGGCATAACTGGATGTCAACATGTAGAAGGCTCCAAATAGATCCATATCTGTCACCATGGACAAAACTTAAGTCCAAGTGGATCAAAGACCTCAACATAA